AGGGAGAGGGCGAGAGAGAAATATCAATGATGAGAGAATCATCGATCAGCTGCCTCCCACACATCCCCAACTGGGGACCGAGCCCACAACCCGGCATGTGCCTGGAATGAGAATCGAACAGAGATCTCCTGGATCCTAGCCGACACTCAACCGCTGAGCCACGCCGGCTGGGACTCTCTGTCCTTTAGATGAACACTTCCATAGTAGAAGATGAATCAGTTTGATATTTTTTATATGCAAGGAATTTATTTTTCCTAATTTTCACAAAACCTGAACACAGGCACTTTCTATTTAATCTGTAGCAGAGACTGGCGAGCTGCTCAGGATAGGAGACCCACTTCCACCTTCTGAGCACACAGCAAGACACATGTCCCAGCCCCTCAGGCAGATTGCAGGGGCCTTGGGACTAGTTCTGGCCCAGAGAAAACATTTAAAAGTGATGCACTCACCTTCACTCCTGGCCCATAGAATCTCTCTGCTCCCCAGTCCAACCAAGTGCCAAAAGGATCCAGGCAAAAACACTGAGGCCCAGTGACGAGATGAACGCACCAATCATAAACATCCACAATGTCGAACTCTGATTGCGAGATAAACTTACATTGTGTTAAATCACTAAGATTTTGGAGATTTCCATTTTTGTGGTTGTTTTTAATGGTAGCTACTAATATGTCACCAATTGTCCTCTGTTCTGTCTCCTGCTCTCATTTCCTAGCTCCTATGTCTTTCTTTATCATGTGAGTAGGTCTTTCCGACTGATAGCTCTCCAACTGGACTCTGTGAATCCCCTTCAGGGGCTGTCTCAAAAGTGGGCTCCAGGCAACTCATTCCAGATTCGACCAGAAACGCTCTCTTTTGACCTGTTTTACAAGCGGGTTTCTGCATCAGCCATGTACCTTTGTGTGGGTGGGGAAGGCGCCTTGACTTTGACGGGTTACAGACCATCTCTTTACATTACATTTACTCTCATAGTTTTAGTCACACATATTCCCAAAGTATCCAAATCTGAATCTACAGCACACCTCTCTTCGGAGCCCTCCGCCCTCACTCCCACTCATCTCTCCATCTCCACCCGCTGGATGCTTCAGGGCCACCTCCGCATGGAATTCCGAAACAGAGGCATTATCCTGCCCACCTTTCTTCCGGCATGAATGACATCACCGTCCACCTGATTACGCAACAGAAAATGGAGTTATCCTGACCCCCTTCTTTTCCCTTCCCATATGCAATCAGTCATTTAGATGGAGGTTAGAAAAGTAATAATAGTGTTCAAAAGTACAAATATTGTAAAACAAAAACAGGTGAAAAACACACAATACAAACTTAGCCATATGAAAAACATCTGCTGCTTAATATAGAAGCCTCGTTTAGAATAAAACAAGCTGTAAGAGAGCCTGAGGAGAAGTGGGCTTCATGGTCTTTGAAACCACATTGCCTTTGGCGGGGTTTAAAGTTGCCACATTAAAATAAATGTATAATACATAGTCCAGTATGTCCTATATGATGTAATGTGTGTCATGGTATGTTAGAAAAATGTCACACGCAGTCCCATTTGGGGAGACTGTATTTGCAAAAGAGGCATTACATACTCTGGACAGCGGTCTGCTTTTTAAAAAGTTGTAATGTACAAGTTTTCGTTGCATCCAGATGGAGGAAGGGATTCCATAATTAGCCTTTTTGTTTTTTCCTGAGACGTGACCAATTTTGTAATCCTGTCCCTGTCCCAGGATGTTTCTGTCCTTAGCATTCAGTCCCCAAACCTGAACTGAAACACCTCAGCACCACACGCAGAGCAGTTCGCCTTATCATCGGAGCTGCCCAGTGCTCTGGCGAGCAAGGGGAGGGACAGCGTGAGGAGTGGTGACAGGCAGTGAAGTGAGGGGAGAGGGAGCACTGTGTTCTCTGGGTGCCGAGGTCCTGGGAGCTCACTGCCCCAGGAAAACCTTCTGAAAGCTTAGTGTGCACTACTGCCACCTGCTGTCACCCTGGCTCCCATCAAACAGAGCAAAAGACTTCCCGTCTTTAAGATACTTACAAAACAGTCCCGTTGGAAGTTACAGATGAAGACTCAACACCTCACTTGATATAATGAACGTACTATGAAAGTTCATTTGCTCCACCCACATCCTTGTCAACACTTGGTAGTCTAAGTTTTTAAACTTTAGCTGTTTTGCTAGTTTGGTAATGAGGGGTATCTTTATTTTATTTTGCATTCTCATGATACTAAGGCTGGGCACTTATATATACTTATTTGTCATCTGGAAACCCTGTTTTGAGAGATATATCTTCAGTCTCCTGCCTGTTTTTCCGTTAGGTTATCTTTTCCTTACTGATTCGATGAATTATTTATTCTGAATCGAAGTGCTTTGTCAGGTATATATTTCAAAGTATTTCTTTCTCATATTGAGGCTAGCCTTTCATTCTTATAATGGTTATCAATAGATGCAGAAAAAGCATTTGAATAAATCCAGCACCCACTTATGATTAAAACTCTCAGTAAAGTGGGAATAGAGGGAGCCTCTCGCAATGTAATAAAGGCCATGTATGACAGACCTACAGCCAACATCATGCTTGATGGGCAAAAACCATTTCCCCTAAGAACAGGAACAAGATAGGGATGTCCACTTTCACCACTCCTATTCAACATAGTACTGGAAGTCTTAGCCACAGCCATCAGACAGGAAGAAAACATAAAAGGCATTCAAATTGGAAAGGAGGGAGTAAAGCTGCCATTTGCAGATGACATGATGTATATAGAATACTGTGAAGACTCTACCAAAAAGCTATTAGAGCTAATAAATAAATTTGGCAAAGTAGCAGGATACAAAATCAATATCCAGAAATCGATGGCATTTCTATACACCAATAATGAACTATCAGAAAGAGAAACTAAGAAAACAATCCTATTCACTACTGCAACAAAAAAATAAGGCACCTAGGAATAAAGTTAACCATGGCGGTAAAAGACTTGTACTTGGAAAACTATAGGACATTGAAGAAAGAGAGAAAGATATAAACAAATGGAAGAATACACCACGTTCATGGAGCAGAAGAATTAACATCATTAAAATGTCCATACTACCCAAAAGCAATCTATAGCTTCAACATGATCCCTATTAAAATACCAATGGCATCTTTCACAGATCTAGAACAAATATTACAAAAATATATATGGAACCAAAAAGGCCTCAAATTGCCTCAGCAATCTTGAGAAAGAAGAACAAAGTTGGAGGGATCACAATACTGGATATCAAGTTATACTACAAAGCCACTGTAATCAAAACAGCCTGGTACTGGCCCAAGAACAGGCATACAGATCAATGGAACAGAACAGAGACCCCAGAAATCAACCCAACCATTATGATCAATTAGTATTTGACAAAGGAGGCAAGAACATACAATGGAGTAAAGACAGTCTCTTCAATAAATGGTATTGGGAAAATTGGAGAGATACATGCAAAAAAATGAAACTAGACCACCAACTTACACCACACACAAGCTCAAAATGGATAAAAGACTTAAATGGAAGACACAAAACCATAAAAATCCGAGAAGATCTAGCAGTATTTCTGCCGATATATCTCCTAGTGAAGGGAAACAAAGGAAAAAATAAACAAATGGGACCACATCAAACTAAAAAGCTTCTGCACAGCAAAAGAAACCATAAACATAATGAAAAGGAAACCCACTGTATGGGAGAGCATATTCACCAATGATACATCTGATAAGGGGTTAATCTCCAAAATATATAAAGAACTCATACAACTCAACAAAAGGAAGACAAACAATCCAATTAAAAAATGGGCAAAGGACCTGAATAGACACTTCTCCAAAGAGGACACACAGATGCCAAAAGACATATGAAAAAATACCCAGTAGTCTCTTTCACGTCGATGTTTCTCGCTTTCTCTCTCTTCCCGTTGTCCTTCCCTCCCCTCTACTCTCTCTAAAAATCAATGGAAAAAATATCCTTGGGTGCGGATTAACAAAAAACACACATACAGAAGCCATTGTACATTTACACAATGGAACACTATGCAGCTGTAAAAAGGAAGGAACTCTTACCTTTTGCGACAGCATGGATGGATCTGGAAATTATAATGCTAAGCGAAATAAGCCAGCCAGAGAAAGACAAATACCATATGATCTCACTTGTATGTGGAATCTAATGAAAAAAATGAAGTCACAAACGAAACAGAACCAGTCATGGATACATGGAACAGACCGACAGATGTCAGATGGGAGGTGGTGGTGGGGGTAGGTGGTACAGATGGGATGAAAGACGGTGAAGGGATTAGCCAAAGAACATATATATACATACCCCACGACACAGACAACAATGTGGTCAGGGCCAGGGGGAGGGGAGGGTGGGGTCTGGGTGGAGGGGAACTAATGGGGGGCAAATGGGGGACATCTGTAAAACGTGCATGAAAATCCTAACACGTTTTTCTGTATCTAACCAACATGAAAAGTAATTCTGTATAAAACTAGTGCAGAATGATTTTTTAAGTGTCTTCTCTGTTTAAATTTACCAGCAGGTGAGTCAACTGATCCTATTTTTTTGAAATTTCCATTTAAAAATATCACACTAATATTAACTTCTTAAATGTGGAATAAGAGTTGAATTTCTTTTATAGGCTTCTGTACAGGTGGTTTTTAAAAATCCTGCTGGTATATTTATTTATCTCTGCAGCCTTTACAAAGGGATTCCTGCAATGTGTCCCTTCAGAAACCAGAGTTTCAAATACCTGACTTATTAGCCTGCCTTCTTTCTCCTCAGCAATTCTCAAGGTTCAGGGAAATGTGTAAGATTCAACTTTGGCAATGGCTGGGGACCTCTGCCCTTATATGCTGTATTTATTCTTAAATGCTATTTCATGGAAGACACATTAATTAAACAGGAAACAGAAACATCAAATGTTTCATTCTATATTTTTAATTAAAAAATGTAAACAACATTTATATCGCATCACTCACATTTAAGTATTTACATAGCATTAACATAGAGGCAGTAAGAAATGTTGGTTTGCAGGTTAATGATCATTAAACTTGAAATATAAGGTGCCTTTCAAGTATGTAGTATAAATGAAAAAGATAATTCAAAAGCTTAATGAAAAAATTATGTAATAAAAAATTATTAGCTACATAACTCAGAACTTACATTAAGTATATTTTGGATCCTACTAGTTTTTCCTTATTAAAAAAAAATACATGCCTACTGTCTTATGAAGCCTAAGTTTGCTTTCAATAAATCACCTTGTCAACATAACATGATGAATTTACAGTGTGTCTGTTATTTACAATCTTTAAACATAACAGGAGAGCAAAACTTCGATAGTGCTTTTAAAATGTTAAGTAATTTAAAATGTATTAAAGAACTATATTGGGGAAAATGTCACACATTATATCTTAATAAAGGCAAATGACATTTCCCAATAATACAGGTAAACAAAGGAGGACTATGTACCAAGTCTCGAGATGCCTATTAATCCAACAGTCAAACTCCACTGCCAAACAGGGTGAGCAATTAGATGAGGCAAACTGGGTCAGCAATATACAATTTTAAATTTCTAAGTAAACTTGAAAACACTTTTCCACATTTATTTATTTATTTATTTATTTTTCAACATTTATTTAACCATAAGATATGCAAAACAAAATGCTGAACTAAAAACTAGGCTTGAACTTGGAATCAATTTTTTCAATGTGAGAAAATGCAGGCAAATGCCAGCTTAAAAATAATGTACAGAGACAGATGATGGGGACTGTTTTGATTAGCACTAAAAGTGTTATACTGAAAGCAGCATTTAGGTTTTTTTGCCCTAATGTCAGTGCTGTCTAATCTATGAGTTGATGAATTAAATACCATACATAACAGAAAACAGTATTTTCCACTATGTCACATTATATATACTTTCAAAGCAAGTTATTTATCCAAAATTATAAAAATAAATCTTTCTGTAGGTTAAAAACAAATAAAAATATAATAATTTGTATTACAAGTTTTAAAAAATATGGCAAACTATCCTGATAATCACGACTTCTTTTGGCCATGATTATAGAGTCTGTAAGTTATCTATTCAATAAATTAAATCAAAAATCTCTGATCCACCAATGTTTTGGATGCTAAATTCTTCTGTCCTACTGTATTCCGAATAAATCTAAAAATCTGGAAAAAAATGAAAACAATTCAGAATTATAAAAAATATAAGGAAAATGAAAGACACGAATCAAGTCTCTAAATTAAACTGGCCTCGAGCTAGACCTCCAGTGAATGGGGCTCTAAGTGCTGCTCACACCTGGCATCCAGGAGATAGAAATTTTAAGTGTCTCCCTACTGGCTTCCTTTCACACTTGCTCAAGCAACTCATGTCCTCGAAAGACTCCAGCATTTCACTGACCCTGACAGAGTGCAGAATGACAGTGGCAGAAATGCTACTCTTTTGGATAGGGTTAACCACATTCTAAACCTTCACAAATTCCTAGTGAGAGTTGACATTTACTTTCTGCTATAAAAATAAACATCTACTTCCAACACTTCCCCCTTAAAAAGAACCCGAGAGAACACTACCTCTTGCTGCAGGTACGTAAGGAAGGCTGCTGAAACAAAACTCTGGCAAGCCAGGTCCACGACACAGAAGAACAGCAGGTCGTAAATAAGGAGAGTGGCTTCGTTTCCGTAGTACAGAACACTGCTGAAAGAATAACCTTCATCTGTTAAAAAAAAAAAGCAATGCATAAGATACAAATTAGAAATTGAGTAATAAACTAAACCTGTGATAAATTTCTGGTGACAAAGGTTGGATATTTAAAAACGGCATAATAGAAACTAGTTACTACTTATAATACTTCATGGCTTACAAAAAAAATAAACAAAGGATATTAAAATTTGCTAATCTGAAAGGTGAGTCAAGGAACTCTGCTCATAAAACCCAGTTTTAACATTCGCACCAAGGGTTGGTAATTGCTAGCGCTGTAAGTATATCAAAGACCAAGTAATGAATATCCTCTGTTTATATAACTAAAGGCTAAAGAATCTTAGAAAGATTCTTAGAGTTAAAAAAGTAAAACAAGACCAACAAGGACTAGAACAGTTCATAGTGTGCTATAACCTGTGTTTCAAATAGTCCTCCAATGTTCTGAGATCTCCTCTCACTTCACAAGGAGAGGTTTTTTTTACTTTTGGGGATCTGAATGCCCTTTTAAGATCCTGATGGAAGCTACAGACCCTTTCACCAGGAGAAAAAACAGTACACATACGCAAATCTTGCCCACAATATCAGGGAGGTCCAGAGAACCACTGAAACTGCCAGGGACACCCATTAGGAGCTCTTTCATACAAGAGACATCTGGCGTGCTGGTGATGTCCCGTCCTTACCAAGCCAAGCAAGAGCTTATCAGTCACATTAGAAGTGGCACAGACATTTCTTAATGATAAGAAATCATGTTTAGTCACTATTCCCATTACAGATATCTGCAATTTTGAAGAATTTGCAAAAAATGAAAATTAGATGTTAAAAATTAATCACGAATGTTATTCTTCAAGTGTTTTTCAAATATATCTTTTTGATTTCAGAGAGGAAGGGGAAGGGAGAAGGAGAGAAACATCAATGCTGAGAGAGTCATTGACCAGCTGCCTCCTGCACACGCCCCACTGGGGATGGAGCCCGCAACCAGGGCATGTGTCCCGCCCGGGAATCGAACCGAGATCTCCTGGATCCTAGGTTGATGCTCAACCGCTGAGCCACGCCGGCGGGGCAGTGTTTCGTAGTTTGCTACTGAATGAACATTCCAATAAAATTGGAATTTGTTTGCTCTCTCTTCTCTGTGTGCCACTGCTTTTGAAATTCAGCCTTTTTACTTTCTTGTAGAATAACTATCTTTTATGTATTTTTTTCTTGCTACATGACATGATAAAATAGAAAACAGAAAACTACTGTAATTCCATGAAGTTAACTGAATTCATTATGTTTCTTCTTTAATAACTACGAACACTTTTTCTTCAAATTTGAAAACAGTAATCAAGTCCAGCAAAGGCAGCTGGAGGTACCGTTGTAAAAGATGCTTTTTTCCATTGGCTCCATGAATTCCATTCCAAGAATTCTTTCAAGAAGCAATTTATCTTTTATAAAGTAGTCCATTTCCTTATGAACCTAATAAAAAAACTACAGTCATTAAAAAAAAATCACATTAAAATAAATATTTACCATTTTTTTTAAAAATGAAAGAAAACAAATAATTAGTGGTACACAAAGAAAATGTTTTTCAGAAAGACAATTTACTCCCCTGGGCTTTATCATAAAATTCCTTTTAAAAATATTTAAAATTTTAAATCCCCTTAGTAGTATTTAGGGCTAGATATACTGGGAATACAACCATAGCATAACATATTTTATAATGAATAATACTAAGATTTTGGTAACTGGCTAACAAAATTCCAGTATAGACATATTTTAAGGTAATTGCCAATATGCTAATAGGGCTGTAAAATCTCATTTTACTTTTATATAACCTACATCTATCCTTAGGCCACAGTATTAATTTTGACAGCAAAAAAAAAAAGGGGGGGGGATTTCCTATCCTTAGTCCACCACCTTGCTTAACTAAAGAAATAACTGATATTCCTGGTTAACTTTTTAAAAACTGCATTTTAATTCTAGCTTAAAAATAAATGCTGAGATACATACATGATCGATGAAAGAGCCAAGAAATTTATTCATAGCATGATATGCTTTTATACTCTGCTCAAAAGTACTTGCTGATGAACTCAAGAGTCTAGCAGGGCCATTTTTCTAATGTGAAAAAGAGACAAGAATAAATGCAAATGTCTTACATTTTTGGTATTTAAACAAATGAAATACTGGCAAAATATATCTTAATTACAGTGCATACAAACCCTTGTTAGAGTCTCATGAATTCTGTCATAGTGCTGTCTCATCTGGCTAGAAATTGCAATCTGAAAGGTCTGACCCTCTGTGTTGGGTACCAAGCCTCTCTGGCTACACAAATTTTCCTGAAAAGTTAAAGGATTTAAATTAAGTCAAGATTATGAAATTTTCTCCTGTTAATAAAAAACAGCAAACATTTTTCTTTTAGTTGGTATCACATATTACAAAATTCAGAAGCCAAGTGAAATTTTACTGAAACTGTACTTGAGACAGAGGCTCCCACATTACCCAGGGTCCCCCGTGTCCTCTAGGCCTCACTGATTTCTGTTTGTCAGACTCCCTGAAGGACTCCACCATCTCCTTTACTCTGCCCCACTCTGTAAAAATCCATAGAGTTCATCGTATACTGATACTCGTGGCTTTCTTTATGATTAACTTTATTGCTCTTCAATGCATGTCAAACAGTCAAATCTTAGAATTGACTATTTTTATAAACACAAATGGTCCTTTTTTTTTCTAAATACTTTTAAAACACTTTAGTTAATTCCAAAATAAGGTAGTGATATGTGACCCACCAGGTAACGCATGGACCAGATATGCATTCAGGTCTCCTTGACAAGTTGATTCCTAACAACTATAAACATACAAAATTTTGCCCATATATATGGCATAAAATTGGGATCATACCAATTTTTAAAAATATTTTTATTGATTTTTAGAGAGAGGAGAAGGGGGGGAGAGAGAGAAACATCGATGTGAGAGTAGAACAATGATCAGCTGCCTCCTGCATGCCCCCTGTTGGGGATGGAGGCTGCACCCAGGCATGTGCCCTGACGGGGAATCAAACCAGAAACCTTTCGGTGCAGGGGTGATGCCCGACCAACTGAGCCACACCGGCCAGGGCCCCAATTTCTTTTTCATTAAACATTTTATCTTGAGCAACTCTCCATTTCATTAAATATTCTACAAAACATGATTTTAAATGTCTACCTAAGATTTTACTGTACAGGTAAACCAATTTATTTAATATTCTCTCATTTTTACATGTTTTTGCCCTTATAACCCATGACGAAGATCCTGAACCCAGTTAGCTATTCACACTGCTAATTATTTCTTTGAGTTAGATTCAAAGAATCAGCGAGCCAAAAATAGTAAACTTTTAAAAAGTCCTTGGTATATACCACCAAATGCTTTCTAAAAGGTTTATAAAAATTTATCTCAAGACCAGTAGTTTTATAGGTGCCCATTTCACCATATCTGTGATGATATGAAGTAAAAGCTTTAAAAAAAAATTAAGAAAAAAGAATGCTAATTTGAAGGGGGCAAAAACGTTATTTTTTATTATTTTTTAATCCTCACCTGAGGATATTTTTCCATTGCTTTTCAGAGAGAGTGGAAGGGAGAGAGAGAAACATCGATGTGAGAGAGACACATCCATCGGCTGCTGCCCGCATGGGGATGGAGCCTGTGACCGAAGTACGTGCCCTTGGCTGGAATCAAACCCGGGACCCTTCAGTCCTCAGGCCGACACTCTCACCACTGAGCCAAACCAGCCAGGACAAGAATGTTATTGTACATTAATTTCTTTGATTATTTACGAGCTAAATATTTTTTAGAGGTTTGTCTCTTCTGTTTCTTGTTTATGTAGTTTAAAAAATGTTTTTGCCATTTTTCCACTGAGGTTTTAACTCACTGTTTGCTTACTCTGAGTTTTACCCTAGTCTGCCACACCTCTCACTTATATGACTGTTGGGTACATAAATGTCCTACAGCAATAAAGTCAAGTCAGTGGACATTTCCCTTTGGGGCTCTTTATTCTTTGTGGTTAGCATGTTATCTCCCAGTCTGAAATTCTCTCCTAGGTCTTTACAGTTTCACAGTTTACATTTCACTTTTAAATCCAGGTGTAATTTCTAGTAGTTAACCAACTTATCCAGTTAAATGTATTAAGAAAATCATCTTTGAGATGTGTCATTGGCATGCATTAAATTCTTACAAGCCATAGGTATAGTCCCTTTTTCAATAAATCCTCTTGTATTTTCCTCTTAGGTATTTATTTACCAGTTTTGCTTCACCTATCCTTCCAATTTCTTTTTTTTAAAAGCAAACCCCAGATATCATGTCATTTCACTTGTAAATACTTCCATATGTATCTCTAATAAGGTCTTTTTAAAAAATAAGTTTATTTTTCAATTACAGTTTACATTCAATATTATTTTGTATTAGTTTTAAGTGTATCTAATAAGGTCTTTAAAAAGAGCCATCATGGCATTTTCATACCTAATAAGATTAATCTCCCTTAATGTAATTTAATATATAGTCCATTAAATCTCCCAGATTTTTTCCAAAGTTTTTTTATAGTTGATTTGTTTGATCAAGATCCAAAGTCAACACATTGTATTCAATGGTTTTGTTTCTTAAACATCTTACTATCTAACAGTTCTTCCATCACTACCACCACCCCCCTTCTTTCATTTTCATGCCTTTCACTTGTTGGAGACACTGGTCATTTGTCCTGTGAGACATCTCACATTCTGAATTTTATTAATAACTTCCTGTGATATTATTTAATTTCCTCTCTATCCCCTCTATTTCCTGTAAACTAGTGGTTAGATCTAGAGGCTTCACTATATTCAGGTTCAATTTTCTTAGGCAAGAACATTTCATGGGTGATATTATGTACTTCATACTGTGCCATAACAGGAAGAACATATTGTCAGTTTTTCTAATTTTTACTTGTAGTAAGACTGAGCCAGTGCATTCAGATTATGACAGCCTGGTTCCTCATTATGAAGTTCCCTGCACACTCTCCTTTAACTGTTTCAGCATCCGCTGATGACTGCAGCCTGTAGGCACTGATCCGTTAGTCATTACAAAATGGTGATTTTCTAACTCAGAATTCCCTTTACTTTCTTATAAAGGAAGAACTTTCCACATGAATTATTCAGGTTCTCTGAAATACAGTTCATATAGGAACCGCGGGATGAAATTGGTTCTTTCCCTTTATCAGTGTTCAGGGTAATGAGCTAGTATCCTAGCAGCCTTCAAAGTAATCAATGAGGATTAAAAAATATATATTATTACAAATCCTAGGTTAAGAACAGAGAACCTATCTTTCAACTTAAAAAGGTGTGAAATGCATTCATACCGCTTCTCTTTTAAGATTCATGTTCATCTCGTCCATGTTAGTATCTGCGTGCCCGTGTACCGATCTACCGTGGATGTAATACCCGAAGCATTGGTGGGACAACAGAAACACGGATATCTAGAAGAGAAAACAACGGGGAGCGACTGGCAGCTCGTCTGCAAAACGGTGAAAATTAACTTTTTCTTGAAATTGCTTCATTTCCAAATAATAAGGGTTGAATTCTTGGAAAAGATATAAAGAAGGTAATAAAGTAATAAGGGTAGTGAGGGGATTTTAAAAAGCAGGTGGAAGGGAAAGGAAGAAAGAGGGTTGACATATGAAAACTCTCCTCGGCTGGGCGAACTATTTGGTAGCATAAGGAATTCACAGTTAAGAAACTGCAAATAAAAATGAAAAAAACAAAGACAGTAAATATTAACTTGTAGCTCATTATAACTTAATCTCTGGAGTTAACCACCAGTGGAAATTAGACTATAATCCAATTATACCAAATCACTTTTAGAGCCTCTTTTAATGTACTCATGACCTTTAAACAGGGAAAGTAACAGTTGCAGGATAAAGTCAGAAAGTACTTACATTGCTCATACAGCATAAATCAACAAACTGTCGAATTTTATCTTCTATAAATCTCTCATAAAAGACAGCAAAGAACATGATCTGAAACATTAAGCCAAGTTCATGCTTATTAGCTCTTAAGATTTAATTTTCTTTTATAGCCACAGTGTAGTATCTTAAGACAAAAGAAATTCCAACCAAGAACACAGTGGCCTCTAACAGTTCCTATGGGATAAAATCCTACTTATCATTTCTGATTCTCTGTCAAAGAAAGAAAGGTTTGGAAACTGTGTTAAGATTTATTGATGGCAATGTATTTTGAATTTTAAAAACTTTTTCTGTGTCATTAAAACAAGACATGAAAAACATGAGAGAAGGAAGAAAGGGTTTTTACAATTTAGTATAAACCACTGTATCAATGGCCAGAATTACATCTTGTTCTGTGATTCTGCCCATCTCCTAAATTCCAAGAGCCATTAGAAAAGTTGCTGTTTTGCAAATTAACCTTCTCAGACAGAGAAGCACATAAAAAGCATATATCAAACATTCTACTTCAACTACAGATAATGTGTTAAATATTCAAATGGAATGGTTTCAGGTGTTTTCCAGATTTAATAATATATAAAGGGAAGTTTTATAAATCAAAAAAGTTTACACTGTAGTCCTTCCTAGATGTGCTTCAGAGAAAGGTAACACTACCTAACTATCCAATTTAGAACTGTCCCCGCTGTCTCTGCCGCCTCCATTCCTAACTTCCACTCCCCTCGCCTCACTCACTCTCTCACCTCCCTGCTGATGCCCTTTGCAGCACCTGTCACATGTGTAACTTGGTCATGTTACAGCGTATCTCTGAGCTCAGCACGGTATCTAGTACATAAAATGCACTCAGATACGTGAACAAATAAATAAAATGGCAGCTGATTATGTTCCTAAATACTCTATGTAGATATTTTTTTAAACCCCTTTAAAGATCATGAAAAATAGCAACATTAAAAGTTTAAAAATTAAAGGATACCACTTAAAAGTTGAAGAAGCTGAGTTCAGGGAACTAAAAGGCATGAACACTGAAGCCCCTGATGAGGCTCAAGGGAAGTCTGTGCAGGCAAACACGCGGAACCGCGACAGGCTGCTGCGGGACCCTGCAGGACGCCTGGGGAACAACGCCGCCCACCTCAGAGTGGCCCAGGGGCCGACCACCTTCCCATTGGAAGGGCACGGCGCGAGGAGCAAGGGCAGTGAGCCGGGGGTGAGGTGGTGGTGCCCGGGGCTGCTCCTCCCTTCTCCTCACCCCTCAGTGGCAGACCCCTTCTCTGAGCGGGCACACTGCTGCCGGGGCGCAAGAGGCCAACGCAGTGAGGTGTGGCCATGTGGCTAGGTTCTGACCAAGGAGGTGCTGGCACTTCTGAAAAGGCTCTGTAGCGTCAAGTTTTAACAAGTCTTGGCAATTGTACAATGCAACCAACTAACCCAGCGCCTGGGTTATAACATTAGGCAAGAATCAGTTATTAGTTCTTGTTCTAGAATTAGGTATTGTTGTTGTTTTGTTGTCAGAAATCAGAATGTGGTCAATGTTTGAGGATAATTATATGTAAATAGTTATAAAAATAGAGGCAACGTTGCTTAAAGTATAATCTCCCGTTACCTGTACAATTCCAATCACTAGCCAGAGGGCCGCAGACACTGCGTATCTCAAAATGCGACTATAAGGAGGAATGTAGCTGGATGGGTCTCTGGAAAGACTAGAGGACGAATCCATTAACGCTAAATTCTTGAATCCCACAACCTGCAGTTAGAAAAAAAAAAGTAACTTACACAGACAAGAATGAAGACTTCTCTAGTTTAAAAATGAGATACTCCTTCCCTTAAAAAATGAAAATATTCAAGTTCATACAACAGTGGAAAATCTAGATAAAAACAATTATCCAGTATTTTTAATTACAGAGCACTTAACAAAAATATTTAGCTAGTTCATTTGGCATTTTCTTCATTATGAATAAAGGCAAATACAGCCTCATCACACACTGAGAAAGCTCAAAAGTTTGTCAGAAGAATAAAACTTTCTTCAGAAAACTACCGACGAAAAAACTAACATTTCATGAGATTTTAAGATATGCCAGACACTATGCAAAATACTTTTTATGGTAAAGAAATCTATGTGAGTGACTTTATCACATCCAGTGTTTTCTAAACTTCCTTGAATATAAACTTCTTTCTCATGCAATGCTTTCTAGAGCTTTAAAAAACACCACTACAGATAAAAGTCTGAGGTAGTGTCCACTGTCCTTGGCGCACACACTCTGGTTTAAAAGAGGAAAGAAAGGAGGGGGGGGAAGGAGAGGAAGGAGGGGGAGGA